TTCGTTTTTGTCACTATCGGACTCGTTCACCTCGGCCGCGTTGCTCCCTCGGCTCCATGCAGCACTCCGTGTCGCGCGCCGTGCCGACGGCGGTAGCTCTTGCCAGAACTGAATTTTCTACTTTGGCGCTTTTGTAGCACGGTGTGAGTACTCTGTTTTGTTTTGCTAGTTTCTTTATTGTTTTTCCCTAGCGGATTTTCTGCGCTACGGACGTGTAACCGTGTTGCTCCATCGCTTCTGTGTCGTGCCTTCGGTGTTCGTTCCTGTGCAGAAACATACCGTGCGGCTCACCGAGTGCGCAGCTTATGAAAAATGCGGCACATTTTTTATTAGCCCCAGCGATTTAAAAACCGCATGTACGCGATTTGGCGAGCGCCGAGACAAGCGACGGCGACCCGCTTCGCTGCCGCTCGGTCACTCGCGCGACGAGGCAAACCGCATGAAAGCGACGGGAGCAAACGGCCAAGGCGATGAACGCTAAGTTTTCGAGAAATCCCAAAACCGAGCTACGCGACGAGCGACAGTGAAGGGTGAACCGCGTGTAAGCGATTTAGCGAGCGACGGCGACAGCGAGAGGAGTTGGCGACGAGGGACGGAGATTTCTCACGGTCGCTCGTCGCGTCGCTCGGTTTTTGGATTTCTACAAAACGTCGCTTATAGCCGATTCACACGACGGACTGATCCGCGGACGGATTGATCACGTGACGACATATCCGCGGTTCGTCCGTCTCCCAAGCGCATCCACACGAGGGAGACGACGAGCAGACGCCAGTGAGGACGGACCGAACCTGTTCGCACCCTACAGTGCCGCGAAACTCCAACTTCGCACAGTAGCACCGTTGTCCAAGAGAGAAATCGACGGTTGCTACCGCGATGAAGAATCGTACGCCGCTGCTACGTACAGATCGAGAACAAAACACCGGGACAGGCTTTGACCGAAGCGCCATTAACTTTACTAACCCAAAGAATGACAGTGACACAGGCATGATCCTGCCCGAGAAAGCTTCGGCGTAGACGCGAACTTCTGGGCTCGCGGAGGGGCGTTTGGAGATGCCTTCACACACTCCGCGCTCGTGCACAACACTCAAGCACACCACATCCACAAGAGAGGGCTTGCTCGGTGAAATCCTGATTGGACGTGCAAGAATTATCGCGGCGTGCTAGACTAGTTTTGACGGGAGCTTCTTGAAACGGACCCGGAGGAGCACCGGAACCTGCGTCGCGTCAGCCGGACAAAGTTTCTGGAGTTTCTCTCACGCGTGGAACCAAGAATCGTACGACAAAATGAACCAACAAACGCACAAAAAGCAACGACGCGCCATTTTTGTTTTGAACGCACAGAAGCAAAATACCAAGAAAACCACGTACCGTTGCCAGACTAAATGCTTTCCAAGTCAGTCTGCCGCCAAACGACCGCGAGTGAAAAAGGCGCTCGACTTTATCAGTCCGCGCCTCCGCGGAGGAGGCGCGGATCGCAGGAATCGGTGACGTGCCGGTCACGTGGTACACGGTCCGCGGACGAAAATCGCGATTCGGTCCGTCGTGTGAATCGGCTATTATCACCTTGGTCGCTTGCTCCCGCCGCTTTCATGCGGTTTGCCTCGTCGCGCGAGTGACCGAGCGACAGGGAAGCGGGTCGTCGATCGTCGCTTGTCTCGTCGCTGTCGCTCGTCTCGTCCCGTCGCTCGCTAAATTGCTTACATGCGGTTCAGCCTTTAGACACGGTACCCGGCGACAACAAGGAAAACGGCGCACCCCCGAGATCAACTTTTCTTCTCTCTTTTTTTCAACGAAGCTTCTTCAACGATAGGAAATTAGCAACGTACAACCGCGTACCCAAGCCAGTCAAACCGCGACCTCGAAGATGGCGGATCGACGGTGGCGCTCCTTGGCAAAATCGAACCTGCAGGCTCAGTGAATACCACCTATGGTTTCCTTTACACCGATCGCTTCTCGGTCTCCCTAAAGGGACCGTTAAAAAGGACCATGAAAAAGGTCGTAAGAACGTGAAAAGAGAATCTTGGGACAGCCTGCAGGTAACTCGGAAGCCCTTCTCGTCATGATGACGCCATGCCTCCCAAGTGACGTACCAGTGGTCGAAGAGTTACACAAATAAAGGTAGCGCTAAAAAGGAGGACAAGTAGAAAACACAGACACGGACAAGCGCTTCTCCTTGTTTGTGCCTTCTGCTTGTCCTCGTCTTTAGGTCTACCTCTCTTTCTGCAATGTATAACCAACTAGCCCTCCATATGATCTTAGTACAGTGGTCGAAGTCTCTCTTGGCGGCAATATCTTTTCCGTTTTCCTAGATTTTTCATTTCATTTCATTTATTATTCCCTCAGGGCCCGAAGGCATTACAGAGGGGAGTGGGCGGTCGACAGATAAAAATAACATAGTTGAACGAGGCAAAAATAGAAAAAAAAAAACAAAAAACACACACACACATACACAGCAAAAACACGCGCTACGCATCATCTGTTAAAAAGTTGGTAATAGCATTTTTAAAATAAACAGTGTTAGTTATTGAGACTATATGTGCGGGAAGGCGATTCCAATCAATGGAGGTTTGGGGTAGAAAAGAAGCATTAAAAGTGGATGTGCTACAATGGGGAATCCCTACCTTTAGGTCATGGTCTACACGTGATGATATGTACGATGGTTCTAAAAACAATGCTTGACGGAGAGCGGGGTTAGAGTAATAAATCTTGTGAAATAAACATAGACGAGATATTTTTCTTCGGAGAGAGAGATCAGGTAAGGAGAGGGACGATTTCATGGAAGTTACACTGGCTGTACGATGATAGTTCGAGAGTATGAAACGGGCAGAACGATTCTGAATAGATTCGACAGCTGATGCAAGGGTGATACCGGGGCTCCAGATAGAAGCTGCATATTCCAGTTTAGGACGAACTAGGGTTTTATAGAGGAGAAGTTTTAACGAAAGAGGAGCAAGCGAAAAGTTACGTTTGAGATAGCCCAAAAGCCTATTTGCGTTGTTAGTGACATATTGGACGTGGATATTCCAGGAGAGGTTGTTGGTTATGTGAATGCCGAGATATTTATAGGAGGACACAGAAACTAAAGTAGAATTGTTAATAGAGTAGGAAGGACAAGTGTTGTTATGACGAGATACTCTCATAGATGTACATTTAGTGATGTTAAGCTCCATGAGCGATTCCTTGCACCATTTGCAGATGTTGTTAATATCAACCTGAAGGGCGGAAATGTCGGAGTCGTTAACTATCTCTTCAAGGGTTATTGCCGCTTTTTGCTGAACTTCTGGAAGACCTAGCGAAGTGATTAGTCCATCACCAAAAGACATGCTGTACCGGTTTCTCTGGGGAACTTGTGTAACCTACATCTTCTGTACTCGTTGTCACTCAAAAAAAGAAAACAAAAAAGGTTTCGCGCGTTGTTTATAAGCCGGACGAAGTAGTTCTCACGAGATTTGCATGTCGGGGGAAGAAGCTACGCTTTGGGCGTTAATCCCCGCGTACATCTTGATAAGGTAACATATATCTGATCTAAAATGCATCTACAAATATATTAATTCTCCGCAGAAAGAGGGAGAATAATAAAACCCCGCGAAAAGCCGGACTTTTTTTTTTTTTCTACGTTTTTTATTACGACAAGGCTAGAATGCTGTATTTTCTACGCCATCCAGCGGAGGCAATAGCGCGGGATACGGACTGCATGGACATGAGTGCCGCGCCAGCGTTCGGCCTAGACTGGTGTTCAGAACTCGTTTAACACAAGTTCCAGCGACACCCTGACGCAGTGACCATATGCAACCTGTGCCCCCGCGCCTGGCCTCCAGTGTGTGACGTAAACGATCTAGCCTTCGGGTCTTGGTATGCTGGAGGTGTTGGTGTGATCGTCCAGTTGCAACGCCTCCCGGATAACAAGGCCCGCGGTTTCGAAGTTTTACGTCACCTGAAAAGGGCGAACGCGGGGCACGGATTGAACAGGAGAGCTGCGTCAGAGCTTGGTATGGACGCGTGTTCTCATTAATCGAAGACGTGTCTCAGCCGACCGCTGACGCACCACACGTGTCTAGGCCTTGTCCCGTGTTTGCTTTTTTAGGCGACGTAAAAAGTTCAGCACTACGACCTTTATGTCTAGAAGGTGTTGTTGGTTGGCAGAGCAGTGGGTTGTTGAGGAGGAAATGGAGTAGTACTGCAGACTTCTTCTTAGACCCATAACTGCGACACACTTGTATTTTGACCGCGACTGGCGATGTGAGCGATCGAAAGCGTTGATGTGGCCGGCCTGCCATATTCGCCAAAAGCTGACTCTTACGTCATCAAAGGATTTCTCATGGACGGAAATGAAAGTAATGTAAGAACTTAAAATTTGACGGTGTCGGGAGTGTTGCTTTCAGACCACAATGATTTCAAGCTTCCCCCATGCTCATTACAAGCCCCATCGACCTTGTTGTTCGCAAGGTAATGACGTCACGAGAGGGAACCATAGGAGGGCGCCACCGAAACATCTTGGCGCCAATAGTCTGTGACAGGCTGAGAATGTTATTTAGAAGGTCCGCCTCCAGGCACCCACTCTTTGCCTTCCGCCTGCTCTTCACTGCGCGTGCGATGAAGTGTTATCAAAGGCGGAAAGCTCGCGAAGGAGGCGGAGCATCTACGCCATTCCTAAGCTGTCACCGATTATAGTTATGCGATGCAATTATCAAGATATTCCGAGGTCCACCTATACACCTTTTCCGACAGGGCGCAGCCATCTTGAATGTCGTCACTTCTGGTATGCGTTCAAACATTGTTTTGATCTCTCCACGCCGCTGCAAGGTGTTCACGAAAAATGTGTGATCGTCTCACGTCCTTGTTTTGCCTCACCTATATTTTCTCGCAAATTCCAGGTTAAAATGTAAGTATTATTTCTTCGTCCCGCATGCCAGATACGGAGGCCACCTGACTGAGAACGAAAGGAAACGAAAAACGTCTATACGAAACGTCCTAACCTCCGACATGGCGTTGTCCCTTAGGACATTCCGTCGTCGGGAGTGGACCGATGGCTGCCCCTGGAAGGTCGCACTCACCGCTCGAGCATCCAGGGCCAGATCCGGCTCAAGCTGAGCCTGGGCACGCGAGAGGACCGCGGAATGACGGCCTCCATCGACGACAACTGGAAGGAGGTGGTCGAGCACCAGGAGCTGCTTTGGATCTTCATCGAGCACGAGCTCAGCCTCCATGAGGTGAGGGCCCTCCTGTCACACTTACGGCCTCGAAGAATGGCTGAACTGTTTCTTCGTCTTACACACATATGTTACACGGACGCCCTGAACCGCAGTTAAGTCACCTTTAACTGCTGTTACGCGTCACCACGGTGACCGCACTATACACTCGCGGATAGCTATTTCAGAAGAAGTGAAGAGTGCGCATGCACTGCTTTGATGGATACTCAAGGTGCTTATAAGCGCACATGCGCCCATAGCCCTGACTGCATAGCCGCAAAATGTTATCTGCAAATATTGTGTGGTCACTGTGGCTTAGAATTACTGCAGTTAAGTGTGCCCTTGTAACAAGGGTGTTGGATATGCAAGATGAAGCAACAAAGCGGCCTTTGAGAATGCACAAAAAACAACTTGATTGATGCATTTATTCTACAGATGGCGCCGGCAGCTGATATACACTATTAATTGCCGGCGCGCAACAACATAAATAAGGAACTCCTCTTAGATTCCCTTAGATTCTCAAATCCCTACAGCGGCGAAGGCAAAAAAAAAAAAGAAGGGTAGACTTCGATGGCCCTCTTATCATGACGTTGAGATGACGTCAACCCAGAACTCTCAGGACTTGTCCTGTAGGTGGCCTTGTATTTCCAATCTCTACTCGTAGAGGAGACATCTGAAATCTGGCGGGAGCATGAGTGTAGGAAGCGAGCTAAACCGATCTCCCCAAAGAGTACACCGGGTCTTTAGGTCGACAACGTGCGGGTGCTAATATGATTTGTGGCAATTTTCCGGCCCGAGAGGCGACGCGGGGTGCGCGATCTGTATCTATTAGCCGACGCCATATTGGGATTAAGCCTTCTTTCGTAAGTTCTTTCGACACTGTTGTTGTTGTTGATCCCCGGAAAGACATATTGTGTTTATTCCAATAACGCGGCTAACCCCGCACCTCGGATTACGTAGGCTGACGGGCAGCTAAGTAAACACTGCGCTTGGCGAGAGCCCGAAAGTACGGCGCAGGAACATAACAGGGAGCGGAGCCTCTCGCCATTGTCTCGTTCGAAAAGAAAAAAAACAAAACAAGAAAACCGTTGCCACGAAGCGCGTGAAAAAAAAAAATAGGGTGGAGGGGGGTGGAGAGGGAATTAAGTAGCGCTTGGAAAGTCTCCGCCGCCGCCGCCCAAATAAAAGCGAAGGAAGAAGAAAATAAAGGGACGCTGCCTATTTTCTGAGTCGTCGGGTTGCCATGGCTACTTGGAACAAATTTGGAAAGGCTCCCGCTGCCGGCCGAATAGAACAATCCGAAAAAAAGAGAAAAGAAGCGCGAAGATTGAGGAGCGCATTTGGAGTTTAGTGACGGTGGAGCGAGCCACTCACGGACAGCTGAAGAATCGATGGGTGAGGCCTAGTACGGACACGCCTCCTGCTTCGCGATTGGTTCTGCAACGTTCGTATCGACTAAGACTGCAATCTGATTGGCTGCCCAATGGTGATAAGATGCTCGCGATGCCATGCGCTCCTTAAGCCCATAGTAACAGCTTCGTTGATGTACGGTTGCATCAAATTACACTCTTTTTTTTTTCTTGTGAACTTTAGAATTTATTTTTTACCAATCGAGCCATCACTGGAATCAGTATAGAAAACTGCACTCGCTTCGCCTAAGACAAAGGCAAACACAGCAATGGGCTTCGCCCGCAGATAAATAATGCTTTCTAAGGCCCTCACTGCCGAAAGTAGTGGTATTATTTTTGGGAAACAAATATCAGAATAAGGGTGGTGGTCAGTTTACTTTATCTAAGCATCGATGTAAAATGATGAGATGAACTTGGGCTACAGATTTGTATAAAAATCCTTGAATTCTTCACTAATCCGGTTTATATGGGCATGTTATACGGCCGGGGGGAAACAATACTGGAGGCTAATCGTCGCCATAAGTGGGATAATTAACTCAAACCGTTTGACTATATATTAATCAGTGAAAATAAACATATGGTTCCACTTAGAGACTCGCTGAACATCGCAGAAAACCACTAAATCACTACATATTAGGAACATTTCGAGCACGTGGGAAGCGCGTTAGTGCCCTAAAGCAGCCACTCGTGCAACAGGCGCAAGGCTAGCGGTGCGAGAGCTAGATGAAACGATTATTATAGCTTATCACGTATCATCATCTCACTCAAGTTGCCGTGTTTTCCGTCGCTGTTATTCTGTTCGCTGACAGATTGACAGACTGATTTAGTAAACAGGAGACACGGTTTGTACCGTGTCTTCTGTTTACTAAGTAACCCAACCTACCATCTTACACAAGTTTGACTAGAACGTTGCCCCCGTGCTACGGTCTCCCTGGGCTTATGTTGCATGCTTTCGACAGTGAGTGCAAACACCACAAAGGGTTAGCCTGCATTTGAGCTGCATGCATAAATAATCCTGGTCCTTTGGGGTTTTCCCAGAAGGGACGTTGTTGCTCCGATTTCTTTCCATGAAATTGCTTCTGAGCCTGCTCGAATTCCCAGTATAGCAGTTGCACAAAATTAGACTTTTTGGATGCATCATTAATGACTCTAGGGGAAAATGGAACAACTTGTGAGTAGGTCACGATGTCGCTCTTTAATTTGTTGATGTTACTGTGTGGCCGTCGCGGCACGTGTAAGTAATTCATGCATGAGACATTAACATTATTGCTAATTAAAGGCATTACAGTCATTGACAGATGGAGAACGGCAGGGAGTCTCTTTGTGATGCCCGGCCCCCAGCACGTGCTCGTTGCCTTCCATCTTACTTTGACTGCGCGTGCGTGCCTAAAGTTCACGTGAAGCCGAAGCATTATCGAAGGCAGAATGCCCGTGCTGGAAGTGGGACAACTGAAAAACCTCCTTGCCATTCTCGCTTTGCCATTCAGCAGAGTCCCTTTGAAGCTCCAAAAAAGTTATGGCAGCGATACTGCCTAAAAGCAAAGTATTCATTCTTCGGCAGTTTTTCTTTTCGTCTGGTTGCAACGTCGTTCCGTTAACGATCCCAAGTTCATCCCTCGTTTAACCACACTTGCTTGGCGAGGTCACATGGAAGCGTCAGTGTGTGACCGCCGGCTGTACCTGGCGAGAACCTAGAAACGAGAGGGTGCGGATAGCCCAGGTAATCTCATCATTTTCAGACAGCCGATAAGGGGACGGAACCTCGCGCTAAGGAAATTTGCCAGCCAACTGCGAAGCACCGAACCGAGTCATTGTTAGCCGTGCCCTGCCGTCCCTGAGCTGCCAATGACCGTACACTCGGAGAATTTCCGTCCTCGACTACTTCCCCTCGAAGCTCTCGGAGAGCCTATTGCTTCAATCTATGGAAGATCCTCGGCGAAGGACGATGCCAAAATGTCATCTAGCTTCTTCATTTCAATTCCAGCGCAGTTTTAGCTACACCTCCTTGGTAACAAAGTAATAGGGCAAACTTTTCTATATCACCCAGCGGAACCTGCAGCGCGGGGTAGATATTGGACGCGAGCGGCCGCATCGCCGTTCGGCTGGGGCCCGTCTCCTTCTTGCTGGGTGAATACGAGCACCACCCGAACGATGACGCAGCTTTCGTGCCAAATCTTTGTCCCGTGCTGTCCGCCGTATGCGTGACGTAACTTCCTCCAGCTCTTCGGACTTCGGGATGGTGTTGTTAAGAGTCATGCTTGTAAATCTGACAAAAAAACTATTTTGGAGTTATTCCTAAAATGAAAGCGGGGAAATGCGAACCTGAAGATCAGGACCCTTTTGTTTGCTTTTATTTTTTTATTCGCGAGTACCGACCGTTAACCCGGTCTGCTTCGTTTGCAGGGGTTGTAACGGTGTAAGTGCGCCCAGCTCTGATTGGCTCTGATTGAAGGATAGTGGGTAGACGCCAAAGCAAGCTGCCTTGAGGTCTACCCACTATCCTTCAATAAGAGCCAATCAGTGCTCGGCGCACTTACACTGTTACAACCCCTGCAAACGAAGCAGACGAACTTGTGCTCCGCATTTCTCCCGCCTCTTGAGGATCACGTGTATGACGACATCCACTTTTTTCTCTTCTTAAACTACCGCACTGGGAATTTTTTTTTAGATTCCCAGAATAATGTTTATTACGATGAATACATTAAAAGGAATATTGTATTTTATAAAACGTTCGTAAAAAATCGGCAAATTGTATTTGTTTAACGATTGTTTAACTAAGGTTATGCACAAAACGTTGTTTTAAAGATAGAAACGGGTATGGCTCACGGATTTCGTTTGCTTGACTGGTTATCTTACTCCAAATGGACTTTAATCTAGACATAAATGAGTGCGACATCTTGAAACATCCCCCTCCACCGAACGATGTTTCCTAATGTTCCGTTTTGGTGCACGTTGTGCACGCTGTGAGTGACGATAGAGGGTGCTACTTGCAGGGGCCCAGTCACGATTGGGCGGGAGATCTACCGCGGCCTGCGCTGACCATTCTGCACCAGCACGCCATTCAGGGCGATCTCACGGAACTGCAGCAGGCCATCTGGTAAGCACCGTTTACAGATGTATAGACGTCGGGTGCCTGAACCTGGTTGTCCGTAGAATTACACTCCCAGAAATGCCGGCACGTATACTTTCCCGCTGAAACGCCGAGTAGCCAGTAGTGACTCCAAACAACGAGAGGGCCCCAGCGAATGTCGAAGCTGGGGCCCTCTCGTTGGCAAACGCAATGTGCCCAGAACCTCGCACATCGCGTTTGCTTGTCAAACGCGATGTGCCACTCGCAGTAGCAATCGTTCTTCAAATAAAGTTCGACTGGTAATATCGCCATAATCTCATAGAATAACTTGCATAGAATATTGCATAACGACATCATTGAGCAGGCATCGACATCTTAAAATGTGTAATATTCTTCTCGCGCCATAATCGTGGCAGTAAGCTGTTCATCAGAGCAAAACATAAATAACTGATGATGATGATGATAAGAGCAGCACGACGTTCTAGTTATTTCAAACCCATAGGACGTTTGTTAGTTAACGCGGTAACCTAGTCCTGTAATAAAATAACAGTGCAGACCACCACTAGTCACGGAACAACTTATTAAAACTCTCTTATGACTGCGAATCTGTTCCACGGTTGCAGTCGCTGGGTGATGTACTCCAGGAAGCACATGGGGGTATCCTTGGACTACGCGCTCTTGTACCAGCTTCTGGATGACCTGGACAAGGCATGGGACGACACTGAACGGCCATTGTCCAGAGACGAGGTAAGGTCGCCAGGATACGCCCACCATCAGTGCTGGAGCAGTGAATGGATGAATGCGCACGGCCGAACCCTTCTTACTGGGAGGTGGCTTGTGCCACCTAGCCAGTGTTTCTTATTCAATGTTAAAGTAGAGCCATCCGTTCTGTCACTCTGTAATTCTACATCCTGCGAAGATACTAAATATGCACGGAATAACTAAAAATGGGCCCTTGCCTACACTATTCAGACGAATGCCTTATTTTGATTCACATTATCCCAGCAAAAGAGCGACATAGGCTACACCCAATAAAGCAGGTCTACTCACGGCATACGAAAGGCTGGGATGTTTATAGTGTTGTTGTTTGGAATATTACATAAAAACACAGAATGCTTATGTTGCTGGGAACGGTAGCTTTTTGAATGTGCCAGTTTATCGAGATTCACTTTGGATGGTGTACCTCTGGATATATGGAGAGATTCTTCAAACATATATCGTCGGAAAACACACAGTGAGGCGCCGAAATCTCAGAGTATAATGACTGGGAAATTTGATGCGCTTAAACATGCTGTATGTTACTGGTTTGTTGTTTCTGATCTAAGAATATTTTTTGGAACGTGTGCAATGTTGTCTACCTCGAATTCTTGTTACTGACACAAATGTCTGCTAATATCTGCACAAAAAGTTATAAAATGTCCATATTGTCGTAATGATTGCCTAAACGATCCTTCTGCAACATACTGTACGAAGTAACAGCGTAGCAACAATATTACATTTACGCACTAAAAGTCTGTCCCGATGATAGCCAGTCGTAAATTGTGAGCTCGAAAACGTGATAGGATGACAGGATTTCTTGAGTATACTTGCTGCTGCTCTTAGCACTCCGGAGCAGCATACGACGGTGAGCAGTGGAAACAAGAAGAGGCGGGTAACGGTGACGTTGCCGAAGACACGGCGGAGTTCACAGTCCAAATCGTCGCAGACCGTAAACGCCGATTCCGTTCTCTGAACGTCGGGCGAAAGCTGAAGAAGTTTTGGAAGAAACGGAAGAAGTCATTTCGCCAATCTCTGCGCCGTGTACCCGAGGAGGTCGAGGAACAACAAGAGCTGGTGGAGCCTTCGCAAGAGGTTGGATATTTTCTTTGTTCAAAAATGCATCTGTTGGATTGCTGAACAAGCTTGCTCTGCTTGAAGACAGGTGGAAGAACTGCCCAGAAGACCTGCTTGTCCGCTCCTCTGCTTCTTCTCTTCGTGCTGCTGTCATTGCTGGTGCTTCGCAAGAACTGGTGCCAGATGACCCAGTGCGATTGGATGGCCTTTGTATTTGGTACACCGACGAACGGATGTTGCAGGGTTCCTAACGGTGTATCAAGGAACACCGAAGACGACGAAAGACGACAGCGGTGGCTTTTGCTTTGTGCTCTTTCCTACTCAAGAAAAAAAATATATTCTTCCTAATTTAGTCAAAGTGTGAGTGCGGAAGATGACTCCATATATGTGTGCTTTGTTTGCGGGTATATGGAAAACGACGGCCGTCAAAGCGCTAATCTAAAATACACCTTAATTCTATTGTCTTACAACTATATGAGGCACCTCCCTAGCAACGGGGGTACTTCCGCTCAGAGACTTCTCCCAGGCAAAGTTCTAACCACTTAGAAATATCCCATCAACAATGCTGTCAAGAACAAATTAAGCTCTGGAGTGATCCGAAGATAAACATTTTGATAAGCTGACGATTTTGATGAGTGGAACGATTTTGTCGCGAACGACTGGCTTTCTCGCAATCGCCGAGCTTGGCAGCAATCTCATTTTCGATCAGTGCCTTCAAGTGTTTCCTTCATAAGCGGACCAACTGGGAAGCTCTCTATTCGCCCTTTTCTGACAACCTTTTTCTTCCAGGATGCCAACAGAAACGTCCGACAAAGACCGCAGATTCAACAGGAGGTCAAAGACGACGAAAGTCGCCCAATCTCCGAGAAGCAAGTGAGAAAAGTGGCCGCTCGCCTCGCCGTACAAAAAACAGCCTTCTACTTCTCTCTGCCCTCTGATTTCTCTGCGATTCTAACCAACAGCCATCTTTCCAGTGTTCGCCGCCCTTTCGCACCACTATGGCTACTAACGGCTTCAAAGAAGACATTAGGCTTACTTCCTCACCTTTCCCAAGCTTGGTGTCGACCGTATAACCGCAACTCGCCTTCTTCGAGGGCTCTCGAACCCGACTTTCTCTTCGCTCTTCACTCTTACCGCTTTTAAGGCTTCGATTGGCCACGATGCGCTGACCAACTGCAAGTCGCATGATCGTCCGACGCATGACTCGGAGTGCGGCTAACGTACGGTCGGTACATTTTTACCAGGACGAAGCTCCTCCTTCCAGCGAGTATGGGCCAGAGAAACAGAGGAACGCCTTGTTGCCAGGAGAAGTGAGAGATTTGTCTCTTATGCATGGTCGATGGCCTAGATATTCCTTCCTTGAAATGCGATACTCAGTCATTTGTATCAATCAATTTTTTTAGTGTTCGTGAAATGACCTGGAAAACATTTCTCGAGCGTAGTTTTCAAGCATTTTGTTTCACAGGGTTGCGTGCGTCTTCTCTGCACGAATATTCGTATCCAGTTACCTTATTTACTAAAATATAAACGTGCTGATATTTGCATTTATATCTTTTAACCCAGAGAACTAAGTGTCAGCTGGCTGCTAGCGGAACTCGGAAGTTAACCAGTATTTATGCAATGAATCCGCCGGTAATTCCAGGAAGCTGTTCCTTTACATTGGGATGAGCAATTGTTCTAAATCCTACGTGGTAAATTGACCAAAAATATGATTTTGTTTTACTAAAATTTTTATATACAAAGGTGCCTATTATATTAAATATTTCCGCTTCGTCTGCGCTGGCTGATGAATGAACATACCTAACTGATATTTCCATAGGATCACGTCAGCTGCCAGTCGCGATAAACAATAATACAAAAAAAAAAAACATTGTAATTAATCTTTTATTAATTTTATAGTTCAGTCAAAGAAAGCTGGGAATATTGAAGCCTTAAGCCATGCCTCCGCAAAGCTCTGTACGTGTCTCAACTGCGGAAAGCTTTGTTGCTTCTTCTCGCTTACGGACTTCTACTGTGATCCGATTGCTGTTCTTGATCAGGATGCTTTTGTCCTCTGGATGCGTTCTAAACTGCGCTTTATTCGATGATGAATTTGAGGTAGCCGGACTTTACAGTATTAACTTCAGTGTGATGCTAGGTTTCTAAGGATGTTCAGGGTGGACTAATGGAGTCATTAAGGATTGTCATCAATTAGGGTTTTTCGTGACAACAAAAAATTTGGGAGCCAAGAAATAGACTACAGATTTTTGAACTAAGACTAGCTAGACTCATAGAGTGTGACAAGTGAGTTTTGTACAGTAAAAACAATTTGAGTGGAATATTCTCTAGTGACACGAGTCAAAATAAGGAACAGTTAAGTAACCCGTGCGGAGTGTTGTCTTTTAATGCTGGGGTGTCCTTGTTCACCGAAATTTCTGTTAGATTGCGAGTATTTCAGCTATTTCGAAGTTCCTGAATAAGATTTATCTATTTACCACTATTGGGAGAAAGTTCGTGGAAAGTTTTACGAATCTTCACTTAGAAAAATTTAAAATGATGTGGACATTACTATTTGGGTGCACATTTTGGGCTTGGGTCACAAGACACCGGCGGAGTTATAACCTATAAAATGAAAACTACCGCAAAATAACACACTTGAGCATACAAATGATTTACACATCTAATATTTATTTACGTGACGTATGGCAAATGTAGCTTCTAACGGAATTTACACATCTTTTTTCAACATCATTAACAAACTTCCTATCTATGACGAATGTTTCACATCTTGGCTGATTGTCATAGCACTGTGAAGGGTTTTTACTTCTGTTGTGAATATGCGAGCACACACTGAAGAAATGTGAAAGATTTATTATACTTGATTTTAAAACGCTTCCTCGAAATGTCGAATGTTTTGCCCACTTTTGAAGTAATAGATAACAATGCCACACTGTACAACCACGATACCTTCGTATTTCACTTAACAAAATAAATCTCTACGTGTGGAATATTTTTATTACGTCGTTATATGATGCCGCATCACTGTAAAATGTGTTTTTCCACCGTTCGTCAGCTTTACGTTTAATTACAGTGTCAACATTTCTGTTTGTCAGTTGAGCAAATAGTAATTTTAATTAGAAGAAGGGTAAATTTCAGTATGAATTTTTTTCATGGCTTCCATGTTACTGAGGAAATAAATACATATTTGTTTATTCATTCATCCTTGCCTAAAAACGACTGGTTTTTATTTAGGTCATATCCGCACGTATCGTACAAAAAGGTCGCAGGAATGATGTATGGGACTTTTTGTGTCTATGTTACTCATATAGAGATAAGTACATGGAGGCAACTAGTACTTAATGAATTTATTACCTATTTGAGCTGCAGATTGAAGATATAATTAACCAGGGTTCTGGAACGAAAAAAAAAGGCAAACGCAAGGCTTTATGTTTTCCCTTTTAAATGATAATCTCTGGCTCAACATATCTATTTTGCAAGGTATAATTTATATATAAAACATTATTTTGAAACTGAAACCGAGCTGAAACAAATCTACGTACGTTGTCATATATACTGGCCTACGTGTGCACACACATGTGTACAAATATTGCAGTATAAAACTATTACATAAGACGTAAAAAGAACAAAAAAGACTCCTAACATAACTTCTTGACACGATGTTTCACTGAACATCGGTCAAAATCTACCCATTGAAACAAAGCATTCCTACAGAAAAACGATTGTGGCTGTATCAGTCACTGCCGAGGAGCCAATTTAATGAGGTTTTGTCGCGTTCAATATGATCTGATACAGTTTCTCATCCTTTTTGGCGTACCTGGCAGTTTTTGAGAGAGTTGTCCGATTTAGAAACCGATGGCGAAGTTGAAGCGCCATATCTCGGGCTATTTGACATGTCCAGAGATAATTGAGGCTGTGGGGACCACAGACGCAGAAAAAGGCTGTATCTTGGGTTGCAGCTAATATTGTCCGCAGATGTGCATAGCGTTTCGGATTGTTAATTAAGCGTTAAATTAGTTTTATGTAGTTAACTTTTTATTCGTACAAATTAACGTATGGTTTTTACCAAGAAGCACGCTGAGCGTCATTGAAAGCCACTACATCAGAAAATCTTGGCAAAATTTGAAGGCTTGGAAAGGCTGGCGGTACGAAAATGCGGATGATCAGAAACGGAAAATCGGCGAGGGCGTGGCAAAGTTGAACACCTTTTAGGGACCCAGAGAAACCACACGGGCTTCATATGTTTTCAAAGTTGACTAATTTAATGGTATTCGATGATTGTGATCAAGACAGACTAAAATATTAAGATGGGCTAGTTTGTTAAGTATATTAAACGTAAGCTGCGTAAAGGATAGGCAAGCACATGGACATGAAGGTGGGACCAGCGCTTTAACAGGAGCCATCTGTGTATTTTACCAACTAAAAATATAATTATTCGAAAGCAATTATAAACATAATTAATTTAAATGATATTCACCTTTATAAAAATTTCTCTCCGCAGTAACTAATACTGTACAAATCACAGTCCTGGGCGATGCGAAGTGTTTACACTAACATTTTGGCCGATGTTCAGTTAAACATCCTGTATACGACACTCACAAAGGAATTAGGCTTAATAGCTACGAATCTAAAACGATATAACAATACAGTACGACAATTTCGTACCGTATTTTCCGGACTATAATCCGCACTCGGTGCTAGTCCGCAAAGGCCAATCTTGGGTCAAAAATAAAAGTTTTTGCTCAGATAGTCCGCACTCGGTGCATAGTCCGCACTTAGTGCCCTGTCCAAAGGTATAAATGATCATAGACAGCACACCTCGATAAATACCTGCTGTATAGCTCACAAAAAAGCTTGTATCATACATAATTTAACATTACTATACTCCATTATTCGTAAAATCCTTCACGTCTTGTCACAGTAAACGATCTAGAAAAAAAAAACATTCTTGTATAGTCCGCACCCGTAGATTGTCCGCATCGAGTAAACTTTCAACTTTTAAACATGTATAGTCCACGGAATATAGTCCGGAAAAAACGGACCTCGCTCACTTTCTTCCACTACAGTTTTTTACATCGAAGTCGGTAGTTTCATAGAACATTCTAGCATATGGCATTACCGAGCTACCGTTGCGGCTTTGCCGCAACTGGTCCGCGGAACATACCGCGGATGACGTTTCTCCCAACCGTGCTACTCCACAGCATCGTAAGGAAGCGAAGTCCTGAGGGTCAGAATCAATAGAAAGTTTTAGCAGATCGTTCGGATAACCACGACAGTAGAGAGTTTTAGGGAAATGTTTTTGTACATTCGATACGTTACGGTAGACACTCCGGTACGCACTGCGCATGCGCGTTTCTTCTGCGCCAGCGCATTCGCAGTACCTACCGAAAACGATTCCCTAAAGCTTTCTAATGATACCCGATAACGATACGATACATGCACGAGGGCACCGGCGGAGTATCGGGTTTGTTATCAGAGTAATCGGAGCGATCTACTAACACTCCCCTAATGCGGCGGTGGTTCGGTAACGGTACGTTACTGGCTCAATTTAGCCTGATCCGGCATGCCGGTAACGGTAGCGGAATTACGGTAGGAGTATGCTAAAACGTTCTAAATAGAGATGTCGCAAACTTACCTAGGTTCGAGTTACATCAGGTTCGACTCTTTCCATTCGTGAACGTGATTGATTCATTGGGCAAAAACGACGTCACCAGGCGGAGGTGTATTTACAAGGTTTATTGATTCACACGAAAAAACTGCGTTACCAAAAAGTTTGTATGTAATTTTATATTTTGTAAAAGTTTAATTAAATATATGTGTACATTATTTTTCATCAAGAAATGAGAGATCGATAGTTCTGCTACCCCTGCAAGAAATACATCTCACTCACGTCTACGTCACCTCCCCCTCCCCCTCCCCCCCCCCCCCCCAAAAAAAAAGATGAAAGAAACAACAACAATAACAACAATGTGTTGAGATAAGGCAGCCTTGTTCAAAAGTCGAATTTTGTCAAAACGTTTGACAGTTTCGAAAGTTCGCCGACCCATTCGAACTCCAGGAAAGGTTTCGGCATTCCCAGTTCTAATATAGTGGCAAAGGGCAGGTCGTCGTGACGCTGGGCGTGTGTGGGACGCCCTTGCACCCGCAGGAGGCGTGTCTGGCCGAAGCCTTCAACGTCTTCATCGACTACTGCCTGGAGCTGCTGCACAAGCACCGGGACCTGTTTCCCATGACACACGTGGAGGCCGAGCACAAGCTAGCCCACTTGCTCAAGTGAGTGAAGTCCCGACGACGTGCTGGTGTTGGCTCCAGTCGACAAACTGCGTTTCCGATCTTGTCCGCTATAGACCATATCAATGATCGCCTCCTGCGCGCTGCCGTCCTTCGCGTATACTGGGCTGATCGTGCGCACTAACTTTCTTCGGCGTAATATTAGACGCCCCCCGAGCCCGACACCGAGGGTCTTCCGATGCAATGACTGACGAGAGGCCCAACCCAACGATGATGCCACATTCGTGTCCAATCTGTGTCTGCGCTTGTTCTCCCTGTGTCGATGTTGAGTGTTACGGGGATTGATTATTCTAAGGTGGTGTTGCTAAGGTTAGGGAACTGCGCTTCAAAATTTGCCTGCTGACGTCTTTCTCCGGTGATCAGCTCAAGCCTAATCTGACGACGGGTTTCTTTTAAATGTTTCTTCCCCACTGATTCATGTATGTAGCCGCATGCATGTCCGAAAGGGAACGCTTCTCCGTACATCTAGAAGATTCGTGTTTACCCTTACGCCGATGGTAGCAGATAAGGATGCCAACATAACCTTGCGAGTCAGTCTCCCGAGTATTCGACGCTCGAACATTCTAGACCGAATGTTCGAGATAACGAGTGTAGTACACAAGGAGCCCAGAGTGGCCTTGCCGACGCACTCGCGCAGCCTCGCTCTATCCAGCTGTCACGCCGACACGACGACGCTCGCTGCTCCTTTCTCGATGCTCGTTCTCTCTCTCTCTCTTGTGTGTGGTATACGATTTTGCCGATTAAACCTTCAAGGCACTTGCGACTCTTTAGAACGGAATGCATTAAAACCTCTTAAAAGCACTTATGACGAGATAACACATTGGTACACTGGCGCCATCTATGGGGTGACCCTGGAACTGCATTTTACTAGAGCGAAGGTTTCGTGGTATTTCCGAGGTCAGATGGAATACTACCTGCTTGTAATATACATGCGTATATTATGTAATATTACATACGCTTGTAATTTACAAGCGCAAATTAAAAGCGTATAATATACAAGCGTATATTATATATTACATATTATATATGTAATATATAATATACAAGCGTATGTATACTACCTGCTTGTAATATAAACTCTCAAGAAAAAAACTGGTGTAAAATGGTGTATCGTTACACCCTTCGACCTATATAATACACCCCAAAACTTCAATTCGACGTACAGCGCCCTAAAGACAAGCAGACGGCCCCAAATTTTACGAGGGGCTTGATAGCCGTGTGGTACAACTTATTAAAATAGCTAATGTACGTTTTACTGAATACAAACAAAAAATCGGGGTTTTCTTGGCCCTATTGTAAAAACTCGGTGTTTTCTTTATGTGGTCTTTGATACGAACTTTAGCTATTTAAAAAAGTTATATCGCACCGTTATCAAGACCCTCGTAAAATTCGGGGCCGTCTGTTCGACTATAGGGCGCTGTACGTCGAAATGAAGTTTTGGGGCGTATTATATGGGACAAAGGGTGGAATCATACACCCTTTTACACCCTTTTTTCTTGAGAGTGTATAACAGGCGCTGCTTGTAATATACAAGCAGCGCTTGTCTTGTGTTCTCTGTCTGCTTGACCTCGTCCCAGTCGTGCTGTTTTTCAACATGAACTCTTACCAACTTGCCCAGTAATCTATCCTTATCAATGTAATACTACCTATGAGTAATTGTCGTTTATAACATTGACGATAGTTTTCCGAGGCAAGAAGGAACAAATTATTCGCGGAAGAAATAGAAAATATATGGGACCGCCAAGTGCTCCACTGGTACCCGTTAGGTAGAGCCAGTGTGTTCTCTCGTCGTAAAAGAGTTTGAGAGGTTTCAAGGCACTCGGTCTTGAGTTTTTTTTAACGTTTTCGTTGTTTTTGTTGGCTTCTTTGTCTGTGCCAGTTACGCGCCCGTGCCGCTTACCGCTTCCGCGCCTTGGTGGCTTCTCTATTACAGGTGCTTGGCCCTCATTTACCGCATGAAGGCCTTCCAGTGGTGCTGTCCCTTTCGGAACCAACTCAGCGTCGAGATTGTGAATACTTTGAAGGTACGTGCCTCGTTTGCGGTATACGAACAGGTTCGAATGGGCAGATTGAATGATTTTTTAAGGAACTGAGTTTATTTCTAGTTATTTTGATTATGGAATGATGAATGAATGAATGGATGATTTATTTATTTATTGATGCCACACAACGGCAACATGCCTGACCGGTGATGCATCACGACACAGGCGAAAAAGAAACACACTCACACAAGCGTAAACAGACGTATATATGTGTATATATATACACACACACACACACACACACATGTCAAACTCTCTAGCGTTGTCCACACAAAAATGCCGAACCTAAAGATGAAACAGAAAAAAAAAATCAGATATCCTACTATGCATGGTTCTCACATTACCAAGATTTTATAATACTTTAGAGGCATAAACATGTTAATTGAAGGGGACAAAACACTAGCAAACAAAGCTTCCATTCGGGCGTTGATGGATCGATCAAAATAATCCGCCCTTTATGCAACGCGTTTTTTTTTCTAATGATTTTTGAACGTCAGGAAACTTGCCACTTAAAGTTCACTGCGCGAAGTGGTAATACGAACACGACTTTGGCACATTTTTGCATTTTACTTAGAAAGGGTTTGCATGCTGGCATCAAATTTATCGCTTAGGTTTCTGCTCTAAATGACTGCTTTCCACCACCCTAGTAATTTTAATGACAGTCTTTTATTTCTGAAAGAAATACAGAGAAAAAAAAAAAAACGGCGATCGCTTGTTGGCGGTAATGGCGTTGCTCACCATATGCAAGCATTGCTGAATCTGTAGTGCATTTTCCATGGCAGCTACTTATGCAGTACAGTTTGACGCTCGACAAATATAAACAAAAAAATGCAAAATATCGCCGATGTGTTTTTTTGTTATTGTTGTGCTAGCTATGGTCGCAGAGCCTCGTTTATAACTTTGAAAATATGAAGATGATGGGTATGTGCAGGATTATATGTTAACTCATGACGAAAGTAATCCCTGGAGAAGGGGAACAAGAGGGACAAAGACAAAGGACAAACATAAATCTCCAAACACCCTTGTTGGTGTTCGACTGGTGGCAGCTGATGAAACCCGTTTGCTCTACTAACGTCTAACCCCTGGTTAGCTCAGTTGATAGAGCGCTCCACTTGTAATGGAGAGGTCCCGGGTTCGATACCCGGACCAGGCGGATTTTTTCGGTCGCTCACCAGTCACCTAGCTGTGTTTGGAGATTTATGTTTGTCCTTTGTCCCTCTTGTTGCCCTTCTCCAGGGATTACTTTCGTCATTCTTGTCCAGCTCGCTTGCACCTTTGCATTTAATTGCATTATAATTATAACCTTAAATTGCAAGCTTCACCCTTGTTGCTGTTCGACTGGTGGCAGCTGATAAAACCCATTTGCTCTACTAACGTCTAACCCCTGGTTAGTTCAGTTGGTAGAGCGCTCCACTTGTAATGGAGAGGTCCCGGGTTCGATACCCGGACCAGGCGGATTTTTTCGGTCGCTCACCAGTCACCTATAGCTGTGTTTTGAGATTTATGTTTGTCCTTTGTCCCTCTTGTACCCCTTCTCCAGGGATTACTTTCGTTATTCTTGTCCAGCTCGCTTGCACCTTTGCATTTAATTGCATTATAATTATGTTAACTCATAGCAGTTAAAATACAAGGATTTTGTTTTTCATTTTTTTGGACTTCATGAAAAAACGGGCGATTACTTTTGCATTGATGCCGTATTCTCTGTGCATTCATTAGCCTTGCTGAACAAACAGGCGGGGAATAGAGCCATAATAATTTGACCAATTATTCAAATATGGAAATTAATTCTTCTAATAAATTTCTGGGTCATGTTGCTTTTGAAGAGTGTCATTGTTAGGGGCCAGTGCGAGGCACATAAGGGACACTTGTGTGAAGTAGGGTTTGCAGTCTCTTTAGGTAATATTGCATAAACACACAGCGAAGATGACATATATGTAACTTCTAAGCTCTTCTAGTATGAAATTTGACCAAATCGCAGAGAATCATTTGGTATAGAATAATATGCCTCGAAATTGTGACTGTAGGGACATTCCTTATTGGGGCCACATGTTCATTGTGTAATTGTGGGTGTCGGTGTTACACGGGTGTCATGTACCTTATCTAAAGCTACCGACCTTTGAGTTTAAATTAAATAAGATATAAGTAAATATAAGACATAAAGATGGAGATGTGGGCGGGCTGGTGAAGGTTACCTACACAGCAGGGCTGTGCAGTATCGCGATACAAACGTATCGCGATAGTATTTTAGAAATAATTTTAGTATTTATATTTCGGTAGGACGATAAGATTTGTCATTCAATATCTGTATTTCAGTATCAGAATACATTTTTGGTGTATTCCTCATATAGCGATACAATCCCGGGCAAATGTATCTTGTTGCGACGTTCGAGAAATCAGTGACCGCCAAACGAAAGCTCTTGTGTCTGTTTACTTTATTTGTTTGGAGTTGTAGGAGGTACAGTAAATGTGACAATGAGGCTTTGTTATCAAGCAGACTAAGGTTTGTTTTGAGCATTATGGCCCCGACATTGGTGTCTCCCTCATATGCATTCCGTAATGCTTCCGTTGAGCAACTATTTTTTGTAGAATCAAAACGGTGAAGGCACAGCGAGCACGAGCCTTACAACTGTTCATTGCACTCCTAGCACCATTTACTAGGGCGGGGGTTAAGTTTCTTCCCTCACGTAATCAGATAAAAAAAAATAAAAAAGTGATAATTTCATTCCAAGGTGACGTCTTGAAGTGACTCCAGAGAAGTTACCGGCATGGGACTATACTCCGTTCACCCCTAAGCTGATAGTACGGTGGAAGCTACGTCCTCGTTGGACCAGTCATAAGCCTATCTTTCGCCACGTGCTCACGCTCTCGCCCATACCCACGCGCAGAGATGGGAGTCACGCGATGAGAAGGGAGGCGGCTGATTGGTCAGGCGAGAGCGTAGCTCCCACCGCACTATCAGCTTAGGTGTGAACTGAGTGTAGAGGACGCTGACCTTTCGGGGTATATTTCGTCAGATATAAAACGAATTTTCTGGTTCGTGCGATATTGCTTCAAAGGCGTGCAATATATCTAAATGAGAAGCGCACTGCAGTCTGGATTGGAAATATTTCCAACCTAGCGAAGACTCGCATTAGTTCCGCCAACTTTATGTTAAAGGAAAAAAAAAAAAGGCAATTTACGTGAAAGTAATTTCGCGCTCGAGAACCTCCAAGTTGGACATCAATATGTACCTCAAGGTTAGTATGCGTTTTTGTTTTCCCTGGACGACTCATTTTTTCCCTCAGAAGTACAAACCCTATCAACGTAGCCTACCTATTACCAACTCCAAGCGAGGTGTTGTTATGCATTGAAGACCGGAAAAAAAGAGAGAAACTATATTTGCAAGGTTTACAGCGTTCCCATTGGAGAAGCGATCGTCGTTCATTTTAATAGGAACCCCGTGCTTGTTGTCACTTGTGGAACGCTTAATCTCGTTCGCTAACGTGACTCTTCGCCCAAATCGGGAGCGGCTGACTGACGAGGGATCACTAAGTTACTTGTCATCAAAAGCTGTCGAGAGTAACGGCAAAAGTCGTACATTTACTTTAGTTTTGTATTGCTTCCACGTGAAATGATAAAATATGTAGAAAAAGGTTGTTTTGTTTTTGTTTTAAGAATAGTAATTTTTTTCCGGTAATACAAGAGTTCGCTACACAAAAATATTTGTTTTTAAAGAAACATATTACTGCCCCGGCAAAATGTATTCCTGTATTTTGATATCCAAGTACTTTTTTTAACTTTTCAAAGTATTTTTGATGCGTTTCGCGATACTTTCGCACGGATGCATTTCAGTATCAGTATTTTAGCTGTTTTCGTCGAGCATCCCGGTATTTGTATTTTCAAATGTTTTTTTTTTTTTTTTTTTTGCTACACCGATCCTTGCTCGTGAGATTAACGCGAATATTAAGACAGAAAGAACCAGACGGCTCACTTGTTTCCTAGCTACGCGCTTTTTTCCTGGCGTGTATAGAGCTAGGGTCATCATTTTTATTTAATTGCACGCGGAACGAAAAAAAACAAAATCCAGTAACGCTACAAAAAAAGAAAAAAAGGCAGTATCTCGGTGTTTGAGAATAATGAATAGGACATGTTTCATCAGAGGCTTTTCAAAGATCCCTATAAATAGGGGGTTTGGAGGAAAGAAACTTTTCAGGAACAAACTGCCAGCCACGGCGGACGTCAAGGATTTCAAAAGACATACAATATACTGATTAGATAAGTAATAACCTAAAATGTAATAATTAACTTTATAATTAGCGAAAATAAATATATCGTTTCTGTAAAAAACTTGCTAAGCCTAATCGAAAATCATAAATCAACTCGTTTAGGAAGGGCATAAGTAGAGTCCTGCATATCCGCGGATTAACCTCCTATCATCCGCTAATATCCGCCGTGAACTGGCGGATATCCGCCAGTTTACGAACGCCAGGGGTCTGAATGCGAATGTCCTCGGGTCCGGATCTACATTTTTGCTGGGGCGGCCCATAAATGTTTGCGGTACCGCACAGTGTAAAGTGAATACGTGATGGGTACTATGAAGTGCATCATCGAATGTATCGCGGGGCCGACTACTCTCTTAGGTAAAAGGTGCCAATCGGGGAGAAAATTGTTCTTTACGTCAGGAGAGATTTGATTCTCACCAAAGATCCCTTTTGAACGTTCTGTTTCGCCAGAAATGATTTCCGGAAAAAGCTAAGAATGCCGGAGCTTCAGTCGTCCCGGGAAAGCGTGTTCTTGTTTGGCAGCGAAAAAGCGGAAAACGTCCTTTTGGCAAAGAAAGCCCAAAATGTACAAGCCACAAGAAAGTTGGAGAAGCCTGGAAGTGTCTTCTTCGCTTACAAGCAGATCGAGGAGAGTGAATTCGATCCTCTGGAGTGGTGAAACTTCCGCCAGCACGCCTTTCCGCACCTCATTCTTGTACCGCATTTCGTGCGTAGCACCCCAGCACCAAATGCACCAACGGAGAGACTCTTCTCATGAGGGGTAAGAATTTAAGAGAGACGAACTAGTCTGAATCTGTCCATGTTGACGATATTCTGTTTCTTCTACACAGAAACCTCGACAAGTTAAGCGTTGCGTGTGTGTGCGTTTTTCTTTTTCCCCACAGCTTTGGCAATGAGTTATTTTTAAGTATTTGGTTCCGAGTATCCAGTTAAGGATTAATGTTTAACACTGAAGCCGATGGGAGGTGTTACTATTATTGAATATTATGGTATTTTCCCAGTGGGGTACTCGCGCCTTACCGGATGTACACGAGTACTTTTGCTGCGGTGAATGAGCGCCTTTCCTCTCCCACCTTTTTATGGTTTGGCCGAAATAAAATGACGCAATGTTATTAGTCTGTCCTTTGTTAGCTTTTATGTTTATAAAATATGCGTCTGCTTGAAGTAAGTTTTGCAAGGCAAATACCGAAATAAATATTAAAATATCCTTCCTTTTGAGCGCACCTTTTGGACCGGGTGTCAGTGTTACGAAACCCTAGGATGATCTCATAACTGCATCATCTTTTGAGCGATGCGAAGTGTTTGTGGAAGGATGGCCACTTATTTTCTAAATATGATAAAACAGAATACAATAAAATTACTTTCACCGTATTCTTACACTTCTTCTCACTAAGGTAAGCAGGCGACATATAGGGTAGCATTCTGGTGTTTTTTTTTTTTAATTATTTTTGTTTATGCTTGATTTTATTATGTAAAATGTGTCAGCGGACTGAGGGTCGGATGCGGTTCCGAATTTTTCCGGATGCAGTTCGGATAGGAATTCGAACTCTGCGGATGCGAATCGGAGGCGGATACAATTATTTAAGAACATTGGGCATGCGGTTCGGTTGCGGATACGAAGTCTGTGGATGCGGATCGGATGCGGACGCGATGCTACCGCCTCGCCTCCCTCGTAAGAAGGAGGAAAGTATGGCGCGCATGCGTTGTGGGTCTTGGCCACTGGGCAGCAGGGCCGCTGGCGCAAAGATGCGCTCCCTTAGGAAACCGAAACCTAGAAACGCGTCTAAATTTAGCGTTTTTTTTTGGAACTCCGTAAGATGCTGCCCCTGCCTTATATAATTCCAAAATGGGTTGATTTAGTGTTTTTCGATTATGCTTAGCAAGTTTTTTTAAAACCATAAGTTAATTTCCTCAAGTGAAAAGTTTATTAGTACATTTTAGTTCATTGTTTACCTGATTAGTATGTTTGTTGCAGCCCTTGACGTCCGCCGTGGCTGGCAACATTTCCCCCGGAAACATTTTCATTTGTTTTCTCAACCACCCTATTTTTAGAGATTTTGAAACCCTTCGTTGAAATAGCCTATATATAAGTCGGGCAAACAGTCGACTCGTTATAGTCAGTTCGTTTCATTTACTCTGGTACTGTGCGACTCCCGAAATACATTGCACTCGCGCAGTGAGTCACAAAGAACCGGTCCTGAACGAACTTGCCGAGTGATGCTGTTCCATCTGTGTTGTAGTAACAGTACATACCTCAAACCGAAACAAGCGCCCTGCTGTCCGACATAAGAGGTGGGACCAGGGTAGTGCAGTCGCGGCAACGTTAGTTTATATTTTCGATGACTTCAAACAAGTCGACTGTCGTGGAGATATTTACAGGCGACATAAGTTTCCGCAACCAGCTGACCACAAAACAGCCCTAAAAAGTAACGAAAGTAGAGCGATCTTTCAATCCTTATAGCCGCCTACACTGGAGAAAACTGTTCATACTGTTTATGCAGGAGCTTGTGTAGTTTTAAGCGTGAACCACTGAAAGGATATGGCTTAAAACTAGTCTGTTGGTATCTCGGACAATGCTTTTCGCGGCACTTTTGATTTCAATCTTCGTTAACAGCTGGATCACAATTTGTCCCTGGTTAGAGCGGTGAGAGCGAGAGCTTTCTCAAACAAAATACGACTGCAAGAAAGCTGGTGTAAGCTGTTAAACATAGTGATTTTACTCAAGCCTCGGGTAAAATCATCATGTTTAGCTTTTTCGGCTACTGATTGGACGCGTCACAGGTTTCTGCTGGGCGAGCTTTCTCCGACAAACGTTGTCAAGGTTTTTTTTGTTTTTTTTATGCTCACACAGATGGGGAGTGAGATCTCGCGGCCGCTGATTTGTTTGTCTAGAGCTTTTCCTTACCCACCGGAAGAGTGGAGCGTGTGTAAAATTACAAAAAAAAAAAAAAAGAAACGATTCAGAAATTGCAAATAAAGAAATGGCAGACGCTGGCAATGCAAGGTTCATGGCGAGATTGCTTTCTACCGAAACGAACTCGCTTTGCACTACGAGTGAACACGCGTGGGCACGAGTGCAGCGAAACGAACTCGCTATTAGCCAAGATGACGACTGCTGCGAGCTTTTACGACTCTTCTGACGGGTGTAATGACAGGAACTGTGACCGGTATATGACCCATTCAGGATGGCACGAAGCGCACGTTCCACTATCCCTAATAAAAGTCGTAAATGAAGAGCATTTTTGTTTTTAGTTGCTGCCACGCTGCTGCGGGAGTTTCTTCTTTCTTTTTTTTGCATTTCCAACGAAAATCATTTAGTATCAACATTTCCGCAGTGGCAGAACTACTAAACAAAGGCTTTTTTTATGATAAATTAAAGGGTGAAATTGTATTTCACTGCCACTAGGTGACTTCGGGAAAGTCTACGGTTGGTGGGGGTATATAACTTCATTAACTTATTCATTTCGGTATGACCCTAAAAGATAAAACTGTAACCCTCGATCGTCAATTGAAGATTGAGTGGTGCTCAAGAAATAGAATGGAACGCGCGCCCCTAGAGGTTTATTTGGGAGAGTTTTATTTAGGGATGACCGAGTCAAAGTGTAAGACACATGTCTAAAACGTGTTTTATCTGACCACGTATTAATTTTTATTTCTTTATATCATAGTATTAAACTCTGAAAGAGTGCAATGAGATTGCTTTCGAATAATGTTGCCTCTGCTGATTTCCCAGATTACTAAAGTCAGCAAGAGTTTTCTTTTTTTTTATCTTTTAGAAAAACCATGGAACTAAATGCTTAACAAAAAAAAACATTTAGACAACTTTTTTGGGAATAAAATTTGAAACCAGCTATTTACACTAACCAATTACCTGACTGGCGAATAAGAAATTTTACAGTAGAATGCTATAGTACTACGGGAAAGGTGCTATCAGCAATCTCATGATCCATATATATTTTTGTTGTGCGAGGAATGGTACGTGTGAATGTTGCTCTGCTTATTTCTAAAAATTCCAAAAAATGTGAAACCGTGATATATTATTCTAAAAACGAAATGCACGAAAGCTAAAACCCGGCAAGTGTGTTGTTGGGACATTTCAGTCCATAAAAACTATCTTTTTTGGGGGTATTTTCTAGGCATCGTTTTTTTAATTTCATTAACTTAATTTCATTTATTTATGTATTTATTTATTGTCTTGTGTAAGCAGTAAGCACATAGGTACGTTTTCTTTTTTTTTTAGAAAGGCTGCGTGGATTGGTTCCGTTGCGTTCACGCTCTGCATCAGCCAACTGTCCTGGTGAGTGTTCGAATCCCGGCCGAGGTGACCGCAATCCGACGGAGGCTTATTGCGGAAGAGGCGCCGTGTAACCGAGCTTTCGGTTGCGCGTCGAAAGATCCCCAGGTGGTCCAAATTAATCCTCAGTCCTCCACTGGGGCGTGCCAGATGCCCGTCGTTGGTTCGGCACGTAAAACGCCCAAATTTGACTTTTTGTCCTGGTGAGTGCTCTATGTAACGTACTAACGGAAGGGGTTTCAGCTGTATAAGACTGCTGGAAAGTAATAATATCGAAATATGTTACTAATTTAGAATGTTGTGAACAAAACGCGAATCGAAATATTTATTGGCACACATTTGCTTCGCGTGATTCTGGTGTAGCGCAGTTCTTGTTTTCTACTTCGTCTTATAAAAGAAGAGTGAAATGCTGCTCTTATGTGCCTGAGAGTAGCGGCACAAGGTTTAGGACACTACAGTCACGCATTCTGAACATGCATGCCTACTTTTCATTTGTTGCACTATTCTATCAAAATTTAGGAACTTCAGTTTGTGGCCTCGTCAATTGATAACGATTGAGATTCCTTATTTGATGGTGTCGGCGCAGAAAAGGTTATGACGAGGGAGATACTATGATGAGATTGGTCCCCAACTGTTTTCAATGGGCATAAAGCATTCCCTTAAAATACCGCCTTGAAGTTACTGAAGAGCCCCAGTTTCGTTTTATGTTCTCCTCTTTTGAATGTGCGACCATGGCAGCGAGAAAGAAAATCCTTTGTTGGTTTAATGTTTTTTTTTTATTATTTTACGTGCGAAATGAGGCTACGTGCGTGGTATTTTAAAACGTAAGTTGAAAAAGGGGGGGGGGGGGGTTGTAAAAAGTTGCAAAAGTGCGCCACTGGTGATAAGGAATAACTCATGGAATCTTATTTCACTCTCTTTTCACTCTCTTACAGACTGAGCAGACTGTGCTCGCTAGCCTCACGGAACTCACGAATGCGTTGAATGTGGACCTACACAAAGGCATCAAGCATTACAACACCGTGTTTGAGAAGTGAGTCAAACCAGTCCAGTAACAATTTCTACGAGTAATCATTCGAAAACATTACGAAATCCACTCAAGAGATGGCTTATGAAGTACTTGCTGATGATGTGGCGAAGTATTCTCGTTTCAGGAGCTATTCACATCATGAAAAAGAAAAAAAAAGTTTTATTTTGTCCTGGAACAGAATGTTTCAATCGAGGGCTGCTTTTCGTTTTTGATTGTGTATAAACAGTACGGCTGCTAACAACGGGTTTCGAGAAGTACATTACGGAGCGTTCATTTCGCGAACATACCCCTGGTAGGTTGATCTTGGAGCACATGCCAATCGCACGAAAAGAAAAGATGTGCACAAGCCCTTACACTCTAAATAGTTCGTTCTCTGCCTCCTGTGAGTGAACAATCATGATCAGCCACTTTACATCGAAGTTGAATGCACGCAAAATCGTTTTTCCTTAGGTCTTGGCATCAGTAAATCACTAAAATAACTTATATTCATGTAACAGAGAAGTCAAGATACACTTTACTACATATTTTAAGAACGACCAATTTGACTGTAATAGTTCTCAGCGCTGAGATATATTTTCAGCCTGTGAAATATGTATTTTCATTTTTGTTTATTCAGATACGTGGGTGTCAACTACACGGCTGTTGTCTACAAGCAGCTGGATAAACTGGTGGGTGTCAAAATAACATTTTCGGACAGTTTACAAGATGTCGAAAGTGTGGCATGCTTGACGTGTGAGATGTGAAGTCGTATCACCTCCTGAACGAGAGCCATTCCTACAGACCCTCCTTGAGAGCTAGGTAGATTAGTCTAATGGTAAAGATAAATTAGCGCGTATTTGCAAGGAGGGGACGGACAAACAAGGGCAAAACGACAAAATGAAACAAACGAGGATAGACGCACTGTTCGTGGTCGCCTCATTTCTGTGCTTTCGTGTCTATGTTCGCATTTTGCCGATTTTATAGCTTTTGTAGCATGTTGAATAAACCTGAGACTGGTGCAGAAATGAACATATAAGTTGAGGGAACAGAAAAAGACAGGACGGCGTTTAAAAATTGAGATTGAAGATTGACAGGTCGACCTGTGCTTTTCTGTTCCTTGGACTTTTATGTTAATTTCTGCCCCAGTCTCGGTTTCGTTCAACATAGTTAACATTCACCAGCTCGCCTGCACCCTTACTATATTATTTTTGTAGCACTCCATTGAATCATCAAACACGCTCCAGGCTTACTTCAGTTTTGACTTTTTTATATTACGACCAGGTCTCCAATATTTGTTTAATTATTGCAACATCTTTGTTACAAACGAGGCAATTCTACATGATTGACACTAGAGTACTAATTGCTTTTGAAGCAACCTGTTTGAAGCCCTGTGTAGCCGTATCGCAATGCTGGGTATGTTTTCTAAAGTCATGGGTAGGTTCACTTAATTATTTTGATCTTTTGTGGTACCGCACTGGGAACTCTCTGTTTTTTTATGTTCCCCAAACTTAAATATTCTTCTTCAAGAAACTTAAATAGTTTGGGTGAGGAGGTGATACCAAGTAGATTTTGTACTGCGTTCTTTATCTAGATGCCATGTTTCTTTTTTTTTTTTTCTCTTCTAGCCTTAAGTCGATTGCTTTGTAGGAATAATGACTGTTTTTTTATTTGATGTTAAACAAGCCTAGAAATAGCGGCTGAACTCGAACAGTGCTTTACCGTGCAACTTCCGCAGTGGAAAAAAAAAAGTGATGTCCCTACGTGTGCGATTTATTAATGTCTCGATCTCTCTTCGTTGGTTTTTAAGCTGCCTTCTAGGTATACGACACTCATTGTGGTCACTATGACAGGCTAACACATCTACACTGAAGTGTCTAGGGTAATAAAATAATATCCATCTCTGTGCTTGTCATTTCTCCTACACGCTGCTATCTCGAATCAGTTGCGTGAGCGAGTCGCCAGACACCTCTGTCCTGAGGTAGGTATTTTGATCGGGAGCCGTGTACGGGGGGTCCTACGGTGTGTTTCGGTGTTTTCGGACAACGTGCATGCCTTCTAACACTCGCTTTCACAGTTTTTTTTTTTTTTATGTGTGTGAAGGGGAATTGTTTAGGTATATCGCAATTCGTAATATTTTGATGGATCGAAACAGCTGTGACATTGACTAAAAAACGAACGCATCAGGTCAAAGCTTGGTAGTACAAGGTGCTCGCGAGTCAATCGCTCGTTGCTTTCTAACGCACGCGAGCCAGTCGCTAGTTAGTTCCGGCCCCGCCCAGAGCACGCACACGAGTTAATTGGTCTCGACTGCACGAGTCAATCGTTTGTTACTTTGAGGCACACGCGAGCCAATCGTTAATCATTTTCGGACGCGCGCCAGACAACCGCTGGTCAGTTTCGGACATCTTGCTTTCAGGGGCACGCGGTCGCTCTCGGCACGCGCCAGCCAATGGCCAGTCACCCTCACAATGCTCGATAGCCAATCTCTAGACTGTTTCGTGCAAGCGTGCGGGAACCAATCGCTTGTCACATTCGGGTACACACAATCCAATCACTATTAAATTCCGAGGGCTCGATCGCCAATCCCTGGTTTCCAGATGATGCACGCGAGCGAATCGCTGTTCATTTCTGGACGCGCGAAGAACAGACCGCTTGTCCGTTTTAGGCGTGCACAAGTCACTAGCTCACCACGTAAGCGCGCGCGTGATCTGAACCGCTAGTGAAGTCGGCACCACCTGGAATAACCACAGCCTGCGCACTAGAATGTTGCATCCGAATCGCTGTGAGATCGAGCGAATACAGAGATTGGATACGAGTGCTGCGTCTGCGTTCGGCTGGGAATCGTGTCCAATGAACGCGTTGAGGGACGCTCGGCGTCTGGCTATAGAGTGATGACGCTACGTGCATGGTAGAGGAGGACGTTCGCATGCCTTGACCATTCTAGGTTACGTAGAATCGCTGCCAATATGGGTCAGCGGCTATGGGCTTGTGACCCATATAGTGGTACTACCAAGCCCGTGAACGTCGTTCGTTCTTACGATGGCCACGATACGTCCCGCGCTCTTCGTACCTATTGTACGTAGGACGAGCACAGAGAAGCTCGTCGTAAACGATCAGCACCGCTCAAAACACGCTGCGCGTCCTGAGCCTCCGAACCGAGAGTACGCAAAGTGCACGCCTGGGATTAGGTGTGCACTTTGCTTTGTGGAAGTGGCCTGTCGTGCTTCTGTTAAACTAGAAATGGCTCCTTGAGGTCTGGTAACAGCCGTGGGTGGTGTATCTTTGATTGCGTTTTTTAAGTAGAAGTTACGCTTTGTAAGAATGCTTATTGCTTGTAGAATTAAATTGAGGTATTAAAGGGAAGCTCCGGTCGAAAACGAAACCAAAATGAATTGCTTATATCGCTTTAGTGACCCGAAATATGATCACATCCGAAATACTACGTCAAAGTGAAGCCGCGTACTCCAATACAACCGATTTTAAAGATGCGACCAGCTATGACGCCGCGTCATGGTGGACCTGCGGTCGGTTGGTTGTAGCCAACGTTATTAGATTAGCTGAGTTACGGAACTGCCCATAGACGCTGCTTGCACGGGCAGTACCCCCCCCCCCCCCCCCCCCCCCTCACTTACCATGACTCGCCACCCGTCGTTCGATGCGCTGGATGGCCGCTAAGGTACTGCAATAAGATGAGCTGGCGGGCTAGTTGGTTGTCCATCATGAAGGCCAGGTACCACTCGGCCGCCATCAGATATGGAGTTAGCGCCCTTCCTGTCTACCTCGTCCTCCCTTCCTTGTTGTTTTGCGCTATTTTATTCATGGCCGCTAAGGTAACTGCAGTGTATTATATGTAATACATATGTTTCGAAGCACAGCTTCTAGATGGCGTTCCATCTCTGATCTATGAAACACACAGTTATGAAACGAAAATCTAGATGGCACTTCGAACGACGAGAGGCGGGCTGAAGTGGCTAAGGAGGGGCACCCCTTCTGCGGCAGCGCCACGATGACGTCACGTCGCGGCCATACGGCTCAGCGTTGCCATCCCTTTAGCAGATTGTTTCGGTTTCGCCGTAGGCGCCCGAAACGAAACATTGAGCCCAGTGGTATTTATAAAACTACACTCAATATCGACAGAAAATCGTACTTTGTAATTCAGGGACGCTGTCTTAGCTGAAAACAGTCGTAATCCCAAATTCAAAAATATTGAATTTGGGTAATCCTTCCTTTTAAAAGGACGCGGACAACCTCTCGCTTCTTAAACGTGCCAGACACGCACGGACATACTTAAACGTGGCAGACACGCACGGTACCAAAGCGGATGTTTCGTGGCACTTTATCGACGGCGTGTCTGTCAAACTAGAACATTGTCGCCTTCACTTAAGATATAGGCACGGTTTGGTCTTATATAATAAACTAGGAGACGCACACAATTTTTTCGGAAGGAGCTTTGCGCATGGTGTGCGTGTGTGTGTGTGTCTGACGTCACGTGACGTCATGACGTCACGTGACTTTGTCGCGACACGCTACGTCATATTGTCACACCTTTTCGCCAAGGTCTAATAAGCAGATAGCCTTGGAGTTGTATTACACATCAAATCGATATTTAGTGACTAGCCCGCGTTTGCCCGTGTTTGGGGCAACGCCTCTGTTTTTGGGACGAAGCATCTGCGCATGCGCAGTGCTGACAGCAACGGCCCCACCGCAGTGGTGTGACGTTGCAGAGTTAAGTTGGCGTCTATGCGCCGGCCGATCGTAACGCGTCGTTTTTCTCGTGAAGCCCAGCCCTATAGCAAGTTGTGTGTTAAAACCCTTCAATCCCCTTTCTGGTGGTCCAGAGTGGAGCTGGCCTCCCAGCGAAGGTCCAGGAAGTGTGCGGTCAGGTGAACACGGTCGACTCGGCGGCCCAAGATCTGTCGGCCGAACACATCTCCATGGGGGCCGCCCTCTTCGAGCTCTACATGGCCCTGCAGGAGTTTGTGCGCTTCAGGGAACACCTGCCACGCGAGTGAGTGGGAAAGCAATCCAGTTGACGAGGCACGGCTCTGAGGCCACTTCACGGAAAAAAACACCAAAGCTCAAAGTGTGGGCTTTAGGCTTTAGTTTTGTTTGTTTGCTTTTCTTGTTTTTTTTTTAAAGGCTTACACCTTAACTTTAAGCGAGTCAGGGTGTGCGGATTACCCGTCACCAACGAATATCTTTTTGTTTTATTAAGCGATGTGACTATACAGTCAAAATAAAATAGACCCTTCGCGAAAGTCCCGAAGGCTGCGCGCGGAGCTCGCAACGAATGATGGGAACGTCCTGTGTGCTTTTCCTTGGCTCTTCAGCAGCATGCACCACATGTAACATAGGAGAGCGAATGACAGAGAAAGAGATGTAGCGCAGTGGTTCGCCTGTCAACGCCCACTCGCCTGCGTAATTTCCGTCTTTAAGGTCGCTTCCTTGTTCCACTGCAGCAGCCAGTTCAGTACAGGTTGTTCCCGGCATTCCTTTTGGCGCCGCAGATGGTGCTGTATGCTTTGCTAAAATGTATGTTGCGTAGCGAGAAAAAAAGTCACAACTGCAGTTTGAAGAAAAAAAAAAAAAAAAAAAAAGCCCATGTTGACATTTTGTTTTTTTTATTTCATTTTTTCCCAGGGACTGGGACCAGTTGTCGATCCAGAACTTCCACTTGTGGTTTGCGGACTCCGTGCAAGGATGGTTTGCCGTGGCAAAAGTGAAGGCTCGACAACGGATACGGAAAGCGCTGGAGTTGGACAGGGTACGATGATTTGCTCGTACTTTTTGTTATTGTACCTTCATCATTAACGACGTATTAATTGCATGTCTACTTATTTGCTTTTCATCCATGCAATCATAACCTCACTATTTATTATCGCTTCTGGCGATTTGGTCTTCCTGCGAAACTCGCGAATCGAGAATCATTTTCATCTGTGCTGGGATTGTAGAAAAATAAGAGGCAAGATCTTAAAAGCTATTTTTGAGAATTAACTAAATTGCTCAGGAGATAGTTTGACTTTTACAAGTATACTTAACTTGAGAAAGAAGTGCTTACTTATAAATTGCTTTTAGAATGCCATTCGAATGCTGGACAGGCTTCTGTTTCTAACGCTAAAAGGGACAGAGCGCGCACTTTTAATTTGAACACGTTTTTTTTTTTAATTTATTTTTAATAATAACAATTTTATGGGGGTGCCTTTACTATATATTTAAGCGATTTCGGCAGGCATTACATCGGAGCAGGCGTCATAATAAGAGGATAATTATATATGTTAATTAAATATTTACTTAATTTCTTTATGGGTCATGTTGGTTTTACAGTTTTAAAGCACGTCTTTATTAGAATCTAGATCAATTGAAACCTTTTTTCGAGTAGGTGAGGGACTTTCGGATATTTTTAGTCACTTTAGGGGGCTTAGTCCCCCGATTTTGAAACTGGACGCAAAACGAGCACCAGAAGCATGGCCCTTAATAAAACACCGAGTAATGACATACTCGTTTCGGGCGCCTCGTCGTTATCTCAGAAGAGTATTCTTGATGGATGCACCGACGGCATGTTGCGGAGATAATAGAGTTTCAGTATAGCGTTCCAATGCCTCCGATAACGATAAGATGCGTGGTAAAGACGTTGGAAGAATATAATACAACACCAGTCGATAGTCCACACAACCGGTACCTCGGATCGGGAGCTCAAACCGATCGTTTTACACCGGAGCTGTTAAGGGCTAGTTTCCCCAGGATCGTGTCCCCCGCAAAGAAATGTCGACACAAAACTGTGGACAGCTACCGCCATCTATGAGCGACGGCGGCAACCAGACAATCGTCGTGCCGGCCTTCCTGCCTTTCCTCTCGGGTTTTCACCAGAGTGGAAAGGCTGAATTTCTCTAGGCGGCGTCCTAGATGTCGCCCTCGAGGTCGTCGTAGAAGTCGTTCTTCAGGTCGTCCTACACGTCGTCCCTGAGGGCGTCCTCTAGGCGTCATTCTCGAGGTCGTCGAAGAAGTCGTCCTTGAGGTCGTCTGACCATAGTACAGCTTCGCTGGTCTTCCTTCTTCACCAGAGTAGAAAGGCTGGAAGTTTTTCATGAAACGGCTTTTAGAGAAGGGTATGCAGTACATGTCGCGATTTCACGGTGCATATATATGTGTGTGTTTTTTGAGAATAAACGTCAGTTGCAAGTAGCGCTCTGGGTTGTTCGTTTCTTTTACTCGTCCGTTGTTTTTAGCGCTTTTACCCTCACAAACATGGCTTTTAGAGAACCGTGTTTGCAGACGATTCAGACGATCGCTGCAGGTCGCGCCCCCTGGCATCGGAAATACGCAATGGCTTCATAAGGTGGGTAAAGAGGGTGCATGTTTTTTTGTGTTCTTTTCTTTTTTTTTTTTTGGGGGGGGGGGGGGGGAGAGGGGGGGGGGAGTTTGGTAAGTTCACAAAACTGAAGGAAAATATTTCTCTCTTCAGAAATAACCTGAAGCCAAATTTGTGGACCTAACGATATGTGTTTCTCGTTTTGCTAGAATGGGAGCGCTAAATATGGCGGCGGCGTCACCACGGTGACTGAACAGTTGAAAGGAGAAGACGATCGTCGCAGCTATCATGGCGCTAGAACATTTTAACGATGAGTTCGAATTTATTCTACTCGGCGCGAAAAACTTAGAAGTCCTTTTATTTGACTTGGCTACCCCAAAAAGGAGGACATCGTTGACGGCGAAACTGGGAGGTTCGACCTCGCGTCGAGTCATGAAGTGGATGTGCTACTCCAACTTCGATTCCACAAAGCCGACGTAGCTCATCTTCGCTCCGCGCTACAAATCCCGGACACCCTAACCACTAACGGCTGGGTCATCGGACAGGGTTTGAACTCACCTTGTCGGCGCCTTCATCAAAATGGCAGAGCAACGCTTGAACCACACTGAGACAAACAAACAATATGATTATAAGAAGGCGTTGGTGTCTTGTTCACGGTTTGTTTTTGTTCTGTTTTATTTATCGTGAATTCGACTTGATTCTCTAGCCACCAAGTCATTTCTTCCAGGCACAATCACGAATGCTTTCATTCACGTATGAAGCTTCGGCAAGCCCCTTCCCACAGCGACCCGTTCTATAAACGAGTCGAGACGCTACTGATGTGAGCCGCTTTGACCACACGACCACAGCTCATGGTTCGGACACTGGAATATGATAAGGCAGCAGGGACCTCACGCATGCGCAGTCCATACCTGAGAGCCAATCGTACCGTATCGAATGTGCAAAAACGGTTCCCTAAAACTCTCTAAAAGGGAGTTTTAGGGAACCGTTTTCGCAAGTCCGATAGGGTACGATGGGCACTTCGGTACGAACTGTGTACGCTCTACCTCAGAAGACTCGGTTATGCGCAGTTCGTACCGGAGGGCCCACCGTGGCCGTATCAGATGTGCAGACACGGTTCCCTAAAACTCTCTAATATCTGGTATCGCCATCGGAATCATCGCAACGATCTGCTGTAACTCTCTAATGACGAGGTACCCGAAACGAGCGCACTCATCTTCAACGCTTCATTGAGGGCCAGAACTTCGGAGCATTTCCAACCTCAAGATTTGGAATCGGGTAAAAGTAGCGCGATAACGGATTTATACACGGTGATTCAAGGAGAATCCAGGCTCTTTAAATCGTCCGCAAAATTTGCCTTCTTAACCTATCACGCTACGACTTTGTGCAGCGTTGCCGACAGATGGTGCATTTTTTTTTTTTTTGTGAAATTTGCAAGGAGCGAATTTACCTGAGGAAAAGGTAAAGAAAGAAGAAGGCTTAGCTCCTACGGAAACGCAGCGACGCCACCGGTCTTCAAACAACACAGCGCCGTTTCGCAAGGGAGACAAGAGATGGCGCAAGCGGTCGCGACGCCAACTGCCGCCAGCGAACGAGCTTATACGATGCTGAAAGCCGGCGTCTTTAGCAGACAAGGAACTGTAGTTCCTTGTTGTTACCGCGCCTGTTTTTGTTTCTGCGACTGTCGCCGCCTGCGGAACGCGCGCCGCTTTTGAGTCGAAAAAATTGTCTGCTAAAAACGCCGGCTCTCGGCGCCGTGTGCTCGTTCGTTGGCGGCGTTCGTTGCGCCATCTCTTGTCTCCCGTGCGAAACGGCGCCGTGTTGTTTGAAGACCGGTGGCGTCGCTGCGTTTACATAGGAGCTAAGCCTTTTTCTTTCTTTACTTTTTCCTCAGATAAGTTCGCTCTTTTTGTAAATTTTACAAAAAAAAAAAAAAAAAAAATGCACCATGTGTGGGCAACGCTGCACAAAGTCGTAGCGTGATAGGGTAAGAAACCGAATTTAGCGGTCGATTTAAAGAGCCTGGCGTCTCCTTGAATCAGCCTGTATATCCGTTATCGCGCACTCAAACATCTCAGAGATGTCAAAACTAATCCCCTTTTCGCGATTTCTTTAAAGATTGATTTAACCGCTAGTTTATGCTGAAATCGCAACGTGACCCATAAAGCCACAAATAAAAAAGGTTAATTTAGGGATATTAGTTAATGGCTATTCCTCGTCGAATATCCAGCGAAACCGATTGACACGCAGTGCAGACTACATCCATGTCGCACCCCTGTTTCTTTAAAATCTGTCTGATTTATGAACTTACTACATGAATAATTTTCCTGTCCTTTCTCGACGCCGCGCTGCACAGATAGGTAGATTTGAAGCAGTAGTAATGGTGTGGAGAGCCAATGTGAATTTGTCGATATGTAATTGATATTAAAAAGTAGAAATAGTTCATCTTAGTTTCCCATTTTTTTCAAATAGAATGAACGAATTTATAGCTGCATTACTATAACGTTATATTTTAATTACTTAACATTTCTGAATATAACGTTCTCACGTTTGACACTAGAGAGTTTTTGTAGTGCGTTTCGATACCTTCCATAATACGCAACAGCGATACGATCTACGCGTTAAGGCTTCGCGCGGCGCAGTATCAGGTATCAGCTATCGTTATCGAAGTTATCGGGACGGTCTGTTAAAACTCCCTACTATCTGCCTTGAAATACTTGCCTGACGCTTTATATAATGCGCAATGTTCTGCGCTGATCCCGGTTCCGGGAACAAAATTTATCGTGTGTTTCATTGTTTACTTAGCCCATTCCGTCCACCTCAATTACTGGTCGTCCGTACGTTCTGCGGCGAAGCAGATGTTTAGGTCTTGCTCATGAATGATGCGTCTGTATTTTCCGGTAAAGGAGGTATTTTAGAAAACCACATATGGTGTGAAATATAGAGTTAATTAGGACAATTATTTATCAATACTATTTAGTTACCAGCACTCTTATCATTTGTTTACGCTTGGTTTTTAGCTTACTATAGATTTCAATCGATGTCGTGGCCGTGCTACTGTTTTAAATGGATAATATAAGATTATCAGCGTCACAGGAAGCTCACGCAACCCTTTACGGTGCATCTTACCAATGTTAAATTCTTTTGAAAAAGTTTAGGTGTAAAAAAATATAAGCAAATTCAAACGCGTTTTGTTGTTCGTTGTGCCTGCAAAAATATCGAACCTTTGTTGGCGTGAGGAAAGTTTCCCATTGCGAAAAACTTCAAACGAGATTTAAGATTGCATTTTGCGTGCTCAAATTTAAGTTTCTTTAAATAAATTGAATATTAAGTGACGATTGTAAAATAGTGTTGTATGTACATTGTGATTAGGGAACGAATGTCGAGAAGTTTTTGCTGTTTTTCTTCATGATTTGCTAACATGTGAAATTCGAAACACTTTCATGTTAGGTGTA